TGGTATTGCGACACATTAGCTGAGGTGTGTTTCTCACCCTCAGCTAACGTGTACTGATGATGATGATGAAGACCGGTGTTTACAGAGTAATGGCCACGTTTGATGGGAACACTGAGTGAGCAATGTTGAGGTCTGCATTTGATTTTTGGCAAGAAGCCTTCTGGTGTCTCTCGAGTTTTTGATAAATTTTAGTCGCTTATGTTGGCTAAGCTATGTCCTCCGTATTCCCGTCGATCGGATTCCTCAGCATGTATTATACGCCGTGGCTGCACCAAGTTAGGCAAAACATCTGGGTGGCCAGTTCATGACGTAGCATCGAGGCGTGAAGAAATTATCTGAGATAATTGGTCAGCTTGGATGGGTTCCTCGGGACTGTCGACACCAATGTTTGGAGACCGTATCAGACATGACACGGTCACGAAGTCAGTGGCGTTCCTACATTCCGCTTCTATTATCCGGTTGTTAATTTTCCTTTCGTTCTATTAGTTTTACGCACTTCTTACTTCCATTTTGTTTACATTATATTTTCATTTAACCCCACCGTCTTACGGTTATTCTTTATTGCTATTCTTGCCATATGAATCGTGACGACTGGGTCTGTGACACTTTGCTGCTCGGATCATATTTGTGCAACTGAACTGCTAGCACTGTGTTGTAGCGTGTTCTATTTTTTAGAAGGCGTCCTTGGCAGTATGAGAACTGGGAGTCTGTTTGCACATAAGCGGAAAGTATGTAGAAAGCGCGTCTTATACTTATCTTGAATCCATCTTAGTTGATGTCTTGAGACGGGCTGTACACAAATGGCTATCGATGGCTCTACCTTGGTACTGAGTGCGATGCCCACCCTATGTTTACCGGTGACTGCCACAGCAGCGTTTCCGGATGCGTTTAACCAATACGGAGAGGAAAAGCAGGGCGCAGTTAATTCAACTACCCCGTGAGAGTCATTGCGCCTCGTTTCGGATGCTCGACACATGTCAACACCCAGAATGCCCAAAGTTCGGGCTGATGTAACCTGTTCATCTATTTGTTTTAGCGTCTGGACCTTGAACGACGCTAGTGAAACGGGACAGCGTGGCCTTATAATCGGATGCTGCCGATAGGCGTCCGATGGGTGTTGCGGGATGGTGGCTGCAGTTGGTTCTTCTCCAGTGGCGTTACGGCTTCTGTTAATTAACCTGGGAATTCTAGATGGAAGGTTAGTAATTATGCTTGGGATGGGAGTAAGAGGAACAGGGGGAAAAGAGCGAAGCGAGGCGCCAGCAGTAGCATGTTTTCGCTTATCCGCCCTGCTGTATACAGCAGATAAGGCGACCCTTGATAATCTGCGCGACGGCCGATGCATGAGGTAGTTAGACTTGGTCGTACGTGGACTGCGATACTACCAGCGCGCCCAGATCTAGACAGGAGGACGATTAGTTCCTCAACCAAAGCCTTTGGCTGGAAAGCCTGTCCGCAGGGCAATGGGGAGGTGGCGATGATTTACTTTTACAGAAATGGACGCCATCCCGTTTCAAACCCCAACCTGGAGGACCAGGAGACTGAGTTTGCTTGACCTCTAACCATTGACCAATCTGGTAGGAGTAGGTCTCAAGTTGCCCGGAGGCACCACCCAGTATAGCTCAATGCGTCAAAAAGGTACGCGAACCATTGCACCACGTTAAGGTCCAGTATTGTTGCCTCAGACCTGGTACAAATACATGCAAAAATTAGCTGATAGACTTGGTCAGGCTGGTGCGTACTGCACCTCTTAAGAGGGCTTCATGATGGTCCACCATATTTTTTGGAGACTGTCGGCATGGTTCAGTCGCGTAGTTAGTGGTGTTCCTGCATTCCGTCTCCTGTTTTTAGTTGTTAATATTCATTCCATTTTGGTTTCGTTTTACGCTCTTAACTCCCTTTTCATTGTTTTATGTTTGCGTTCAGCCGCATTTTTTAACCGTTGATCTTGTTATTTCGTTCTCATGAGTCATGACAGCCGTATCAACCGCAACTTGGTGTCCGTATGATACTTGTTCAACTGAACTGAACTGATCGCGACACTGACTGCATTACCTCTTATGATCCAGGTTTCACCTCCGGTTAATTGGCGATTGCGGAAAGATATGTCCATGTTTCTCGCCATATTTGTGTATTTTCACAACTAACTGATGGCTTAACACTCGGCGATGTTCACTCCTACTTTCGGACTGTTTACGAACAGCCTTGACAGCTTTGTGTGACAGCACAAGATTCAAACCGGATACTACCTTTGACACTGCTCGTTCAGTCGTATAGCTGTCGTATGGTGAGCTGCAATTCCTCAGGTTACATGGATTCACGGAAGACGACTATGGGGCACTAAAACCTGTGGGTACATTTACTCCACAAGTGTACGATCTGTCTAGAGTGCACAAATCATGGATACCCATACGACCAGTTATCTGGATGTTTGATTCATCGTACCACGCCTTTGCCAAACGGCTCATTAGCATGCTTAAGCCTGTCGGAAAATTCATAGTAAAGCATGCTTCATCAAACAACTTCGAATTCCTTACTTTGGACGTGTAAACCTGACCGGGAAGCAAATGTACTCTCTTGATGTTCAGTATCCCTTCACCATTATCCCTTTGAACAACTCTGTGATTTCCTATATGAATTTTTCTCAAAAGCACTACGTTCATACGCGACTCTTCAAGGAATTGCTGTAGAACGTGATTCTTTTTGTTCGCAAAGCGTCAAATTTGCCCTTCAAGGGAGATAAACGATGTGGTGATGGGTGGTAGCCAACTAGGCTCTTTCTTGGCAGACGTGTTCATGGGTATGATTGAAGAATAGGCAGATTTTCGAACTGGTTATTTTTAATCGCTCGTGGTGTAAGCGGATTCCGACTCGCATTCTCAGTGTGGGCTACGATTTGCATTTAAGTGCAGTGTTTTCGCCAGACATCACCCGAAATCTAGTATGCAGGATCGGCAACTTCACATAATCATTATTTTTGTGATGTGCTGCTAATCCTCGATTCGAATGTGGACATCGCACATGCGATCGAGGCACAACAAAATACATCCGAACCTTAAAGTGACGCACGACGTTGAGGAAGACGACTGTATAGGTATACTGATTACACGGTAGCCAGACCGTTCCATCAGAAGATCTGCGTACAGAACTAATTTGGACTAGTTAGTATTTACATTTTATCAGTTTCTCCTTTATTCAACATAAACACTTCCGTACACTCTTTTATCAGGTCCATATGATCTGCACCCAGACACCATAGAAGCATAGCGAGATCTGATGTTTGATAGGTTGCAGTTCAATGGTTATTTGTTGCAGTTTATTGAGCGCTTTAGTGAGACAACTAAGAGAGATATCATGCTAACAGTCCCAAAGAAGCCCATCTTCATTGAGTAACCTTTCAAAGATGACCACTTCATGAAAGTCCTCAAGAAACACGTATGTGCTTTTCTAAAAAGCACGGACAATGCGGCAGAACTACGATTGCTCACCTCGAGGAAATCTATGCTTTTGTGGTCAATTAAGACACCGTCGATCGAGGCATTGCATGTCCCACTCTCCTCACAAATTCACTTGAAGCTGTAAAGACAGCTACGTCGGGCGCACTGACAGCATCAGTGAACACATCCCAAAGTGGTTACGCTTCCGGATGGGATCTGCGACGACGGAATCAGTTGAATCGGGAAACCGATATGCCTCGGAAATCAAAGCGCCTGCTAACCACCAGCTATGGGGTCATTCTTGACGAGTCGCTGACAGCGGCTTCACATTCTTAGACTACTGGAGACCATTGTTATCGATCACGAACGTCCACTGCCGTACATACAAAACAGCTGACTGTGGCTCATCCTACCCTAGTAACACATGCACTGTCATCTGCGATTCCATAAAACTGTTTTGCTTTATGCATACATGCTGCACGTTTGTGTTTGATAAAAATGCATAAAATGGCAACGTCACCACACAAATTACGTCTTCTGCTTTTGTTTCGATAGTCTAACCAAGGTACTCTGTGTTTCTCATTCTTTGGCCCCGTCAGTTAACAGTCGCCTCGCCGGGATATGTCTCCTCTCAAGGACTTGCAACATTTTGCGAGTTCACCGTTAAGAGACCGAATTGTACAAGTGTACTTTTCTCTGTTCGTATGCTGTTGATTACATTGCATTCCACCCATTTAGATTTTCAGCTCTTTGTGGGATATTCATGCATACCTGCTGCTTGGTTTAGTGTAACCGTTCCCCCATCAGATAGAAGGTAACTCTTCGTTCGCATGGATTGTACTGTCTTTTTCCTTCGTTACGGAGTATCATGTGCCATAGAAATCAATCCATCCTTCGCTTTGAACATGCGCTTCCACACCACCGCTTAATTTTGACGAAATAGTAATTTTTGTAGCATTGACGTCAACGGAAGTTTGTTGGGTAGTATAAGCCGACTTATCTCTTGTGATTTCGTAAGTTGAATGTGATTTTGTTTGCACCCATACTTTTCCGATCGATTGTGTCATCTCCTCATGCACTAAACTGCAACGTAGGCGTTTCTACCGGTCATCGCAAACGAAGTATATGTGGTCTAATATCGTCACGATCAACTTCACAGAATTATCAGAAGTACACTAGAATCTTGAACCAATTCGTCGCGGTCACCCAGCCATCAACGTTTGTTTGGGTATTGGGACCGAACAAGGTCACCCACATCCGTTGACTCCGGCGACATGTGTGGATCACAATTCGAATGTATGTACTCCACTCCGACATACCAATCGCACACTGTTTCATTTTTCATCGTCTCCAAATTTTCTGCCGTTGGAGTGCTCTGGGTTCTCGCCTGTGTCACCGCTTCAGAATGGCTTCTGACCCACCGATTCTATGACAATCGTGTTCTGCTTTTGTTGTTGCTTATTTTCGCTATTTGACATTCGTTTCAAACCTCACCATTCACTCGGATCTGATTGGCGTCACCTCACTGCATTTAGTGAAGGCGTTGGGTTTCGTTTTTTACAGGTGAGGCGCTCGGTGTATCTAGCCAAGCGGTCATCACACCGTGTGATCTTTCTGTGAGTGAACAGGCAACCGTGCCGAACATTGCAGAGAAGGCGGTGTGTGATGTCGATGATATCGCATCTAAAAGCAGCCCGATCACTGAAGTATCTTGGATTCATTTACAGTCGACTACGAGAGGTGATCCGAAGCGCTCCTCAATCGAATGTGCCATGTGCAGTAATTATGAGCAACGGTTGCAGAATCTTCAAACAGACAGGCTGGTACGTTTAACTCCCTGCTGTTACTTGTTATCCCATCACTTACTTCACCTTCCAGACACCCAGTGAAGTGTTTCGCACAATCGAAACTCTTTCGACTACTACTACTACTAGAGAATAGTTCAACTTCCTTGTGTTTGCAGCTAAGCGTTGTGACCCTTACATTTGACGCAAGAAACGCTTCCTTACCTACTCAGTTCCTTGGTACCAGTACAGTCATTGTTTTTCCAAACGCTGCATGCACCTTTTAACTGTACAATCCAGTGAAAATCGCGTGCATCAGATTACTGTGCATCACCTGACTGCATTTGTGTGTACTCCAGGTGCATTGGGACGATTCGAATGCAACAGTGGTCCGTTGCATAAGGCTAACACCTTATCTCCATGTTCTCCAAGTGCATTTTGCGCATTGACTCTTGCGCATTCTACTCCTCTGTGGTTAGTTTACGGAAACGTTGCATCCCATATGGTGCAGACGGGACCGCTAGATGTTTTTGCCACTTTCTTGCCATTCACAGCAGTATACACAGATCTCACCGCACTAGCTTACGCTTACCTATTCCTGTTTCGTGACTTTCTGTCGTTCTTTAACCGCGCCACCGTGGTCGACTGTTACTTAATTTGTTCCAGCTGTGGAAAGGAATATGCGTGTCTCTGGACTGCGCGGACTAAAGCCCGGCCCCATCTCACCCAATTAATTCACATCATGGTTTACCAATTAAAATGTGGTTTGAGTCTATCCTTCACACCAATGTTCGAGCTGGACATCAGTGGTTGAATATCCACTTTGGACAATCACGAGGCCAAGGACTCTTCATTCGGTCTGTTGCAGCTAGTCGACAATTTTTCCCACTCCTCGCCAACTTTTTTCTTCTCTCCACTTGTGTTCTATCCCAATTTACATACCCCGGCCGATGGCCCAAAGCATTACACTTATGCACTGTTAATCGGAGGTCACCGGTTCGAATCCGCATAGGTGCGACTGGCCTCGCGGTATACTCGGCCCAAGCGCGACTGGTGGTAGCCAGGTGGCAGCGAAGCGCCGGTACCGCCTACCGGCGCACTGCTACCGCCTGAATCTATGAACCGAGCAATTGCAAGAGCGATTCGACTTGCTCGGTGCCCCAGAATTTTCTGCTGGTTTACCTGAACTCATCTGGGAGGTGGGATTAAAATCGCCCGTCACCGACGGGATTGGACATCAGTTGTGGTTTTAGTGAGGCTGTGCACAGCTCGTGGCCGTAGTGACCTACTGCCATGCTTTTTAAGGGGTATTGGTGACTCATCTTAGCTTCCTTGTTCGATATTTTTCTGCTGCACAAAGGAATTGTCCTCTGACTGGCATCTGTCAACTATTATACCCACTTTAGTATAGGCCAAAGAAAATTTGTAAAAGTCATACTATCATTCTTATCCCATTTTCCTCCGAACTTATCACTAGCGTCATGCTGCGGTGGCTCACTGGCTCTGTTAACAGACGAATTATCGTGTCAGGTTAATCCCCGTCTTCGCAGAATACGTGTTGACCAAATCTTTACACTTCATCTGGTGCTTGTACACCGCATTTCCTTGACTAATAGGCTACGTTTTCTTCAGCTGACCATACTGGTTTGTGGCTGTGTCTGTCCTGGAAAGACACGCCTGAAGCTCAACTGTAAAACCGCTGAGTTTGCCACAAGAGGATTATGTCAGTGCTGTCTTACATCTCATTATATGTTCAACTTTGTGATCGAGGTGATCATGATCGCTCTTCTGCTTCCAAGTGCGCGGACAATATGCCTTTTTTCGGACCGTACACATCTGCTTTGCAACTCCCTCCACTTCGAGTGACAGCGCCACGCGCTTCTGTGTTTGCTTTGCACCATCAGAACTCAAATTCATGTTACAGGATTGGGTAGATATACCAACAGTTTTCGCAACCATGCAACAGGCAATGAAAGTGGTTAGTTGGTTCACTTATCTAGGTGGTTTATTACCGAATCGGCTGCCGCCTGTATTACGAAGGTGCATGCGGCGTTTCGGATTTTCCTATAGAAAGATGACGGAATATAAACTCTTCGACCAGACAAGGCCACTGTGCGCCGAAAACCGCTGGTGCCTGTGAAGTATTGCTCATGTCTGGTTGGAGCCATTCATAATCTAATGGCTAGGCACGAATGCTTTGCTGTTTCTTTAGAATGCCTGCTGTGCTGGAGCCATACACTCTGTCTAGGTCATGTACTTCGCATGCCCACAAGTGTGTATCACGTCTCGACACCGTACTCAGTTAGATGTAACTCTGAAGTTGCGTATTATAAACATGGAAAAGTCGCATAACAAAACCCACCGATAGATCGAGTTTGACTTGTATTTGTCATCTTCTTCGATGCAGTCCTCGAGACCGCGGCTACATCTGAGGTCAGACACCATGTAGGATATGTCAAGTTCACAGAGTCAGCGGCACTCTTCACCCTTTCATCTCTGGCTTGCCTATTCAGTTTGACGATGTTACCTTTGGTTCATTCTTCTTAAATTAGCCCTATTACTGTTATCGTAGTATTTGTTGGCGTGAACTAAAGCAACTGGACCCGTCGTAACTCGATGAACGCATCCGAATTGATTAACTGAACTGCAGGCCGGTAGCCGAAACGAATACACGCTTGCCTTATAATCCGGAAGTCACCGGTTCGAATCCATGCAAGTGCGTGCGGCCTCGCAATATGCTCAACCCAAGCGCGGCCGGTGGTGCTGGTCACGTGGCAGCGACGCGTTGGTGTGCTGTGTGCCCGGCGCACAGCTCATTGAGTAGCAACACTGAACTACCGCGTCTCAAATCAAGAGCGCGCAGGTAGCATTAAGAACTTGTCTGTGCCTTAGTTCACAGTTCCCTACTTGTGGGCATCCGACCTATGCGGCAGCTAGCCCGTCTATGATTTTTATTTGCCCCATTTATCTATATTTTTTCTTTTATTGAAAGCGCTTAAATGTACTAAGTTAGCAACTATTGCATGCACTTGTTCACCACTGTCTGTGAGGTTTCTAATGCCAGGAATTTTCGTAATAATGGCGTCTTTCACGTATTTGAATCCTTGGTGTAATAAAACCCACCTATACTCGACCGGCCAATATTTGGAAACCAGACGAATTTCATTTGAATATCCTGTTTATGGGAAGTTCGATAGTCCATGGCTCTTCTACCTCACGGTAGGAATCTACTATGACCTGAACTTGCCTGTTAAATCTTGGCACTCACTCTTTATATCTTCATGACTACCCTCGATAACTGTTTTCAGGACTATTGGGTTGGGCATGAGGGGATAGCACAAGTCCTCTGAATCAACTATCACCATTTGGTTCTGGTAGCTATTTCCTCCACTACCTATCCAATCTTATTCGCACCTTTTCCCTCCTTTTCCTCCGTCGTGGTAATATTCATTGTTATGACGGTGCGAATCTTCGCGATTGAAGCTATCGTATCCTTGTGTTACGTGTAGATTGCTGAGTTAAATTGGAGTTTTATAGCATCCAGATCTTCCGCATGCATCTTACACTCGTTTCCTCGGTAGCCCTCACAGCAGCCTATAGGGAGGTGATTTCCGCCAATCTAAGGTGTCAGCGTACATTAAAATCATCCATCGCGACCGTTTTTTGAAGGCATGTAAGAATTGACTGAGGCGTTTGGTCAGGCTGACTCGTGCCCTGCTGGATGAGGGCCTCGGGATGATCCACACTAGTTTGGAGACCTTATCAGAGCTGACGCGATCGCGGAGTTAGTGGCGTCCCTGCATTCGGTTTCTCTCATCTCCTACTTAATTTCCACTTTATCCAGATTATTTTAACGCACTTCTTTATCGATTCAATTTTCTTTTTTCTCTGCATTCTACCTCACTTTCTCACCGTTGCTGTTTGTTATACATCTGGCGATGTGAGTCTTGGCAGCTGGATCTGCCTCACATTGGTGCCCGGATCATAGTTGTTTAACTGAACTGGGGAGTGGTGATATATCAGCGCTTGACTTGAGATGCAAATCGTTGCTTTTATTGGCCTGCACTGCTTAGAAAATAATATTCTTACCCTTACAACCCGTCATGTTGTAATGCTCTTATACAGGGTTAAGAAGCAACCTTGTGTCTCATTTGGACATGAAACATCAGCGACAGTCTAGGCTTGTTACGATGTTACCGATCACTTGCACCTGCGACAACAGTCTGAATCTGAACAGCTGACAGTCGTGAGAGATCTCGTTTTAGCGTTTGTGCTATCTGGCGACAACCGTTCTTTTGCTAAGTCCGCAGTCTGCTATGGGTTATACCACCATACGTTGACCGGTCGCCTAATGTTGGAGGGTTTATCCTTAGAACTATCTCCAGTGATGTCTTTTGTTTCACGTTGCCTGCGAGCATTTACATTTCAACCCCTTATGTTGTCTTGTCTTACTTCCCCATTTGCAAGCAATCAGAAAAAAAGCTGATAACTCTGTCCGAGGAACTGGCTGTGAAATCGTCCGAATGTGCTCAGGCCGTGAGGCACAGTGTCGATTTGGAGGAACAATTGAAGGTCTGTGCCGAAAAGCACGCGAAAAGGATTGAACAGTTGGACGCAACTCTCGTTCGGCTGAGCGAACGCTTGGATGTTCTCCTTGTCAATTCTAAGGTTCGTAGCTTCTCACCGAACCACCTAAAAGTGTTACTCTGATAGTTACCTTAACCATCTCGCTGTTATGCACTTTTGCAGCTTATTTCCATAGCGTCTTTCCTCTAGGTTAAAAGTGCATTTGTCTTACAGCATTCCGGGCTTATTCGATCCTTATTACTAATGAGTCTGAGAATTTTTGAGGAGAATTTGTTGATTCGTCGCAGCAGCTCACAAGCCAGATAGTCTGATCACCATTCCCGGAAAAACACTAGGCGACCATTCCATCGTATTAAGTCCCTTCCGTGGTGCGCATTCCCTCGGCCCCTTTCACTGAACCGGGCCCGTGATCACTAGCAGCTCGGGGAAGTCGTGACCTCTATAGGCCAACCATTTTCTGCAAAGCTATTAATTTGCATGGCAATGGAGGATACGTCACACTATATTCCAGTTAGCTTGCAAGTTATGAAGCTCTGCAACTGTCCCTCATGGCTCAGTGGCACATGCTGCTAACCGTCATGGGTTCAATCCTCTGAAGGTGACCGAGGGCATGCGCACCACTAACGAGTCCCAATAGAGCAAACGGTCGCCTAGTGCTTTTCCCGATTGATGGTTAAACTATCTGGTCTGTGCGTTGCTGGGACGAATCAACAGTTATCCGATTCTGTTAACTTCTTCTTTGGCGTTGTGGATTAGTCGAATGAGGTTTATTTTATGCTTAATTGTAAGTCTAATGCACTCGTACGACGAACGGCTAGAATGTTCGATGAAGCCGACTGTAAATATCAGCATTAGGACTATATTTCATTGAATGGCAACTTGATCCTAATAAGCGCATCCTCGTCACCTTGCTGTTTAGATGTACATAATACATTTCCTTGCAAAGTGAAAGTGAGTATAATCACGTCAACCATAGGTTATGATGAGGTCAGAACTTTCGTAAAGCCACGCTCTTGCTCTGTGTACGATTTCCCAATGGGTAACGGCCTAGGTCGAGCACAATAGGACGAACCTTCTCGAGTCACTTGAGCCTTTACTCGACTCGAGTTGTCAAAACCGACCCATCTTCTCTAACCTGAAAGCCCACTCGTGTCTACTGACTGTAGTCTCATGTTAGTGGTCCTCCTCTCTTTCAACTAATGTGCTGTTTCTTCCACAATTTCTTCTCTCATCGGTCACCCATTTAAACAGCTCATGGTCAATCAACTAGTGCCTTATGGGAAAATCAGTCGTCGGAATTCGAACCCTGACTGCACGCTTCATGTTACAATTGTAATGACACATTCACTCATGACGTACACGATACTTGTGGTACGCAAGAAACAATTGGAGGTTCCACTGGCTATTGGCTCTCTTTACTCTTAGCAATCAAGGGCAGTGTTGTAGGTTTTACTGCCGTTTGATTGCTATGGCAACGAACGCTGACACAAACTCCGCAAGCTACGCCCTCGCCTCACACATGTTCGACGCAAGCGCTCCTGCACCCACATGTTTCGCCAGACCCCGGGTTTCCTCGCGTTTGACTTAAGCGCATACCGCCCAATGCGATATTCACTTATTTCGCTTACCTCGGCATAAAATCGTGGCACCATTAAGGTGGCGTAGACAGCCTAGTCTCTACTCTTCCATCCGGCTTCATTATCAATTTATACAGCTATCTTGAAAATCGAACTACTTCCATAATCATGAAACTTCGGGACCCCACGAATTCTGTAATTGACCTGTACATTTTAAAGTCAAAGAGCGCAAGCATATATGTCTGCTGGTACATGTTTATCTGCTTTAAATATACAACAAGTGTAAAGACGGTCACATTTCACGCTCATCCAGAGCACCACGAAGTAGCACACCCGCCACTTCTGCATCAGTTCCGCTGTGAGATAATTTTGTGGTTTATCCAATTGCGAAAGTGGTATTACCCCAAGGGTGCAACCCTACCTCATAGATATATGTTGACAACGATGCTCTTCCTGTACTTTTACTTCGCTTCTTTTGTGTTCGTGGCGGTATGCCGGCACCCGTATCCGGATTTGCCTGTCACTTTGACCTCTATGGGGACAGCCACAGGACGCCTGCGCCTACAAAGGGGACCATGGGTGGCTTGTGCTGCACTACCCACAGTTCCACCCACTTACCCCATATCCGTTGTAAACCCGAAGAAATAAGACCTGGAGGCATGTGGATGGGAGCAACGTTTCATCAAGGGAACCGGCCCACACTCCTTCACAGACATACACAATCACGCTGTATTTGGGGAATCAAGCGCACACAATGCGGTGGTTGGACCGGGGTCCGCTCCCAACTCAGTGCATGGAACCACTCTTAGAGCCTAGCGCGATCACGAGGATCGTGCACCCTGTCCCCTCTAACAACGACCAACCAACCTCTTAGTAAGTGTAGACGAGGTAGTGCGTACTAGACATATAGGCACCTTGTCAACATGCACATCAAGCGCAATCACACTGAGGATGTCGAACAACAACCGGTCACTTGATTAGTGCAAGATCTCAGAAAATATACTTAAAAAATACCACAAACGCGAACATGTTGACGAACTGAGCCATATTTAGCTTAACTAACGGGGGCAAGTTCAAATCACTGTTAAAATGAGGTTAAAATTATGCATTGAGACACGAATGCGAACCCACCACCTGAAATCAAAAATCACAGCACGCAAGTACGCGGTTAATACATCGGATCGAGCGTACCTATCAACGCTGCGCCGGTTCTGCCTACGTTCGCAGCAACACCCGTCGTCATTTCGATGCTACTCCCGAGTGGCCTCACTCGGGGCTCACTTGGCCTGCCTGACTCAGGCACTCGCGACCGCATGTGTTACAGCACCATGCGCTCGACGTCGATGGGTACAATTCATCGGCGCCTGTCACTTTCGTAGTAGCCGCTTCTCTGCATGCACAAGGGCTTTTGCACTTTGGCAACGACCCACTTGATCAGATCGCGGCATGCACGTCGATCAACCGACTTGGATTCCCATGATCTGCAATCAAGATTAGGACGTCATAGACTCACTTTGATCATGTCCTGATAACGAAGCTTCGGTTTCCCAACATGCCGCTTCCCAATACTCAGCTGCCTATATAATTGCTGCCTCGGTATCTGCGTCGAATGCAAACGCCACACATGACCAAGCCACCTCAAATGTATCGGCAAAATTATGTAGTCCACTTCATACATTCCACTTCGGCGCAACACTTCCGTGTCTGCAACTCTGCCGCACCAACCCATGCGCAGAATTCGTCGTTGACACTGTTATGATACGCTCGAGATATCGCACATCCCGCCGGTTCATCATAAACGAACAGCAACATGGATTTTTGCACCCTCAGCTTCGTGCCAACAGTAATCTGGTACTTGTTCCACACTCGGTATTCTAGCTTCCCGAATGCCCCCGCTGCCTTCCAGACGCGAATACGCAGCTCACTGTGTAGCTGCTGGTCAGTGGATATCACATTCCCAAGATAGCAGAAGCGGGACGTGGTTTCTAATACTTCAGCACCAATGCTGATTCGCGGCGATATTGAAAATTGCACCTCCGGTGAAGGCTGAAAGAGACGGACAGTTTTGCTTGTGTTGATGGTGAGCCCGAATTTGGCCGCTGTCGAAGCCAGAGCACTAGTCATGTGCTGCAACTCATCCGCGCTGTGTGAAAACAACGCACAGTCGTCAGCAAACAGCAACATACGGATAGTTGTCTCACAGACTAGAGTTCTCGCACCGAAACGACGGATGTTCAGCAACCCGCCATCAATACGGTGCTCCACACGAACTCCGTAAGCACAAGACATCATTGCATGAAGATTTATATTAAACAGGGCAAGAGATAAGACACAGGCTTGCTTCATACCAGAGACAACTGCAAATTCATCCGAGGTCTGTCCACTCAGCTGCACCCTCGTCCCATAACACTCTGCAGACATTCGATCAAACCCACAAACTTACGCTGGCAACCAAACTTACCCAACACCAGTCACAATGTCTCGCGGTTCACCGTATCAAATGCCTTGGTGAAATCAGCAAAAAGCGAGTACAATGGCTGGTTTCGTTCTCTGTACTTCGCCTGCAACTGACGAGCCGCGAACGCCATATCTATAGTGCGGCGACCCGAACGGAATCCACACTGCTCTTCCGTCACGTTCGGTTCCACAACGTGACTGACGATGCGGTTTAGCAGAACTCGGGCAATCACCTTGCCCACAAAACTCAGCAAATTGATGCCACAATAATTCGTGCAACTTTGCTTGCTCCCTTTGCCCTTGTACAGTGGTAGCACAAGCGCATCCTTCAGCTCAAGAGGCACCTCTTCCTCAATCCACACACGTTGCACCAAGTGGTGCAGCGCAGTCACCAAAGCGGGTCCGCTGTGTTTCAATACTTCAGGCGGGGTCCCGTCAGCTCCAGCACCCTTGCCGTTTCGCAGCTGAGTAAGTGCTCTCTGCGTCTCATCAAGTGTCGGCGTGTCCGCCAGGCTCGTCTTCACATCGTGCTGCTTCAGACCGTTAAATGTAGGCCAGTCAATCTCTGAATGGTTGTTCAAGAGATAGTCAAGGTGTTTTTGACAGATCTGCATTATGTCTGCAGTCTGTGTGCAGGTAGCACCTAAGGTTCCATCGATCAGTGTCCTCAGCGGCTCCAATCTCGGTCCATACAACGCCTTTCAGGAGTCAAAGAATTCCTTGTGTTGGCGACGTTCGCCGTGGCATTCCATCTGCTTCGCCCTCTCCCTCCACCATGGATTTTGATGCGATGGAGCTCACGAGTCCGTCGCCGTCGATTTCTGCGAAACCGACTTTTCTTCCCCAAGTCACTGGGGTCTACCACATGTGCAGCAAATGCTGCATTCTTATCCGACACCAATGCGGCAATCGTTGCATTGTTCTCATCAAACCAATCAGGCCACTTACAGTTTGCGCACCCGATAGTCTCTTCGGCAGCAACTGTCATCTGGTCGCGAATGTGGTGCCACAAGTCGCCCACCGTGGCTTTGCAGTCCACATCACAGA